CATGCTTCTCTAGACAGTGGTCTCAGTACTGACGCGAAGCAGTGGACATCATCAACGTCGTTAGTGTGACATTGCCCGCCACCGTCAAGCAATGGATTGAAGAGAACGACGACGAGATTCAGGAGGCCCTCTATTGGCGTCAGGCCTTTGACTGTCGCACCCAGCAGCTCTCGGTATGCATAAATACCCCCGAAGCCTAGAGCAGGCGATTGTCGCTAACCCGTCATGCAGTCAGTTGAACGCACCTGCAAATGCCGACAGCCCGCCAACCCGGATAAGACCCTCGTCGGGTGCTCCAACAAGGAATGCGGAAAGTGGCTACACGAACACTGTCTTCGAGAGGAAACCCTGATGCGAACATACGAGCGACTTGGCAAGGACAAGCCCCACTTCACCGCGAAACCCCCGACAGACGGAACAGCGTCGGTCGCTGAGAGCGACAAGGTCAAGGAAGAAAAGCCGCTCGATGACGGTGTAAACGAACCCCTCAGCCCTACCGAGAGCGGTGCCGACGTGAAGCAAACAATCGATGCCAAGCCGAGCGATGCGCTAGAAGAGATCAATGGGCAGTCAGTAACCGAGGGAACGCCTGCCGTTGTCGATGAGCACGTTTCGCAACCACCTACAACTCCTGCCACACCAACCGTACCCGAGGTGTCGGCAGCGGCGTCGTCACGCAAGGTGAGATCCTTCAAGAAGAAGCCGTCTTCCGCCGACGCAAAGCCGTGGGAGGGCTTGTTCGAGGCGAGGATCTTGATGGACATGACCCCATCGACGATTGAAATCAGGGATCTTCGAGAGAACGTCACTGAAGGCGAGAAGGTGTGGACTGAGCCGCTGCTCTGCGTCGTTTGCGGAGTGGGAATCAGCTAAATAATCGGCCTTTATGTGACTGCCAAATTACCGATCGATCTCTTGAATTAGGGGTCATTTCACAAACCGCCAACGCGACGATGGGGTGCCGAGCTTCACTTCTCGATGTACTTATTCCAGCAGGCACTTTATTCAACACACCGGAGCGGTGACTTAGGAAGTGCTGCTGTTTTGCTTATGACGATTTCCAATATGATTGGGGTTCGTAAACCGACCCTGAAGACAAGTATAAGGAGAGGAATACATGCCAAGAGGCATGTTGCAGGGGATGAGGGAGGACAGGTCTGGGCAGGCGGGGCGAGACCTGGACAGCTGAAGGCGAGTCTCGAGGAAGAAGACTGGTTATTCGGGTGTGGCTGGAGTGCAGTTTTATTTTTCGCGCGAGGCGTTGGCGAAGGGAGGGGGATTCATCTCGCAACTGAGTGAGGTTGGCATAAGGAATTGGTCTTGGTGTATTCTCAAGAGACAGACAGAAGGACGCCAACAAAAGGGGACGCAAAAGGCGAACAAGGCCAGCAGAGCGGCCAATTTGGAGACCAGAGTCTTGCGAGCAGTTTCCTAGAGCTTACATGGTTTGTGGTCAAATGTTTACCTTATCCTCTTTTACTCTGCATCAGCCATTGTCATGATTGATGAGACTTGCTCGATTGACCAGAGACGTCTCATGTGGTGGTTCACTGTGATTATTGCCGTTCAACACCGAGAGCTCCAAGAGCTCCAGATGCAGTGGAGAGCTGTGCTGACTCGAGAGGTAGCAATAGCTCCAAGAACTCACTCCCTTTGTCCAGCTAGGTGAGGTAGATGTGTGAGGTACCTCAAACAATGACGTGCCTTTTGTAGCTCCGTGCCTCTTTAACATGCCCGAGGTGGTAGGTGCAGCCCAGAACTCCCTGGCTGTGGGGCCATGGGGAAGTACACCCAGGGGCTAAGGACCGTCTACCCCGCCAGACCTTCCGCTAACACCCCAACCTCAAAGACCATCCAAGTCCAATCGACACCGCCACCCTTTCATCGCCAACGACTCCGAAGAAGCTCAAAGACAACCTCTTCCAGCGATAGACACACGTACAAAGAGCCCATCATGGCCTCCGTCGACCCCTTCGACTCGGCTCTGTAAGATCGCAGCGGCCCTGACCCCCTCAACGTCATGCATCAAAGCAAATCATCTCTAACCTCTGCCGCGTGTTCTCCCCGTCTAGCGACCTCCTCCGCCGCCTGAACCCGAAACACACGACCGACCACCTGAATGCAATCATTTCACTCGCACCGGATCTGACGGAGGACCTTCTCTCGTCCGTCGATCAACCCTTGACCGTTAAGCGCTGCAAGCAGACGGGCCGCGACTACCTCCTCTGCGACTACAACCGCGACGGCGACAGCTACCGCTCCCCATGGAGCAACCAGTTCGACCCGCCTCTGGACGAGGGCGGCGTTGGCGGCGTCGGTGCCGGCGGTAGCGAGGGCGCCGGCGAAGGCGCGATCCCGAGCGAGAGGGTCCGCAAGATGGAGGTCAAGGCCAATGAGGCGTTTGACGTGTACCGAGATCTGTACTACGAGGGTGGTGTGAGCAGCGTATACTTTTGGAACCTGGACGATGGATTCGCCGGCGTGGTTCTCTTGAAGAAATGTGCGTTTCTGCCTGTGATCAGGAATTGGATCTTTTTTTATATATATATTTTTTTAAGCTGACAAGACACCTCACAACCACAGCCGCGACCCCCGGCGGAAGCGCAGAGGGCGTATGGGACTCGATCCACGTCTTCGAAGCCATTGAGCGCGGCCGCACGACGCAGTACAAGCTCACCTCGACCGTCATCCTCTCGCTCTCCACCTCGACCAACGCCCTGGGCGACATGGACCTCAGCGGCAACATGACGCGGCAGGTTGAGCAGGAGCTCCCCGTCGACGGCGACGAGAGCCACATTGCCAACGTGGGACGGCTCGTCGAGGACATGGAGCTCAAGATGCGTAACCTGCTGCAGGAGGTCTACTTTGGCAAGGCCAAGGACGTCGTCGGCGACCTGCGGAGCGTGGGCAGCCTTAGCGAGGCTGGTAGGGACCGCGCGGCGCAGAGGGAGATTATCGGGAGCATGCAGAAGTGATGTGAACCCGTTCTGGTTCTCCTTGAGCTCATCAAAGGCTGTATCCTAGGAATTGGAGCTACGATTGATACCCCGCTCATGATATTGCGGGCATCGTGGTTGATGGTAGATGAGAGTAGCACGGGTGTGGCGCCGGATGTCGAGATCGGGTTGTACGGCTTGGCATTTTCCAAGCCGGGCTTTTCAATATCCCCCAAGATCGAGTTTCACTGTTTTGCGTCGTTGGCGTCGGTGGAGGAGAAAAAGGAAACGATCGCGCGCGCCTACATCTCTTGTCTTGAATCTCTAGATCCCTTGGCGGATGCATTTTTTTTCTCGCTCCGGCAGCAGGGCTGTAGCCCATCACTCCCGTCCACTCTTTTCTGAAGCAAGAACGAAACAGGCGATAGAGAAGAAAAAAAAAGACGGTATGGCTGTAATCCAAAATTACGTGTACCTCCTTGTCCTTGAGTGATCCATCTCACTGCAGCGTCCCTTTGCCTGATTCGGTTTTTTACTTGTATGGGTTTGGGGGAGAGAAGTTTGTCTCCGATGTTCGGCACGATTTGCGTTCGACAAGGCTCTGTTGGATCTCTGTATCACTGTGGCGCTTGAATGGACCATCACACCGGCTTCAAGACTTTTCGTCTCTTTGCCCTCTTTATGGTATACGCAAGTATACAAGTCCTTGGTTTTCGGATATGGTTTCTTCTGCATAGAGACATGCGTTGTAGACTCTGGACATATTTTCGGTCCATGTTGCGCGGCACCAGCACCGATTCGGCGTGTGTAGTCTCGTTTTTTTGGCCTGAAGATCTGATCACGGTTAATAGCAGCGCGCACTGGAACACAATTTGGGGACACGTTTGAGCTGGAAACGAGCAAATAAACCTCTGCAATATACGACGTGGGGGAAAGGCTCGATATCTTCAACGTTGAAAGTAGATGGCCATGTGTTCATGCGAAGACCTCAATCAACAGGTGAGGGTTTCTTCCTGGCCCCCTAGCAGCCATAAAGAAGGGAACCGGCTTCGTGGGCGGGACTTGGTTGGCATCAGCTCAAATCACAGCTCGGCACCGAGTGGACGCAATTGTTCGCAAGATCCCTCCTAAAGCCGGTCTGTTAACGCGACCAATGGACGGACAAGATAAGGTCGATGAACTTGACAAGGAGTGCAAATAGAGTAAGTAGGTAGGCTCACACGGCAAGCCACTCATGTAAGCTTTCGGCAAGATCTTCCAGCCTGCTCTAGTTCTGGCAGTTCTCGATCCTCAGCTATACTCTCACTTTTCAAGCGCCCCGCGAGGATCAAGAGACAATCTTCGGATAGGTAACTGTGAGTAAAGCGATCAAGTATGACACCGGTATGGTTCGCCTACATGCAGTAAGCTTAGTTGCGGCTAATTGCTTTGACGCAACAGGTTCCCTTGGCTATGCCCGCAAAGTGACAGGCCGGGAATCGATTCAACGATTATCGGGGAACGTAATGTGGACCGAAATCGTGAGAAACACCACTCAATAGCCTGGAAGCCGAATTCGCTTTACACAGAAGCCAGTCAGAGACTTGCCGAAGTAAAAGCAATGCCAACCTCGCGGCGATTGTAAGTGTGCCAGGAACGTGGTTGCATAATACTGCCCATACCGTAAACTATGCGTCAAGTTAGGACCGATAGTAGGGGTCCTACAAATGTTCGGATCAAATTGAGCCAGCGCTGACAGAGACTTCGTTGCCCATTCTGAGTCTGACTCTGACATTCGTTCTCGTTCTCAGAAGTAGGACACGCAATTGCACAAACAGATCCGATCAGCCAAAACCCCCGTAACCTACCTAGTGTGCCTAGCTGAAAGGTAAGCTCTAAAGCGAACCCGGTAACACTGGCATCGTCGGATTCACGCTGTATGTCCGGCTCGGTCTGTTTGAAGATGTGAGATACGCGGACCTTGATACTCAGCGAACACCGGGCTCCCCATCTCCTTTCGATAGGCTTCGGGGGCGCAGTCAGGATTTGTTTGATGACGAAGAGCATGAGTGTCGCACTGGGCGAATGATGCCCAACGTTGCCTGTCGAAGCTTAGGCGGTTAACGCGCCGACGCGGGAGCTGTCCATTCAAGGCGGGGGTTTGGTTTGCTAAGGAAGAGACCTGACAGAGTTGGCGGTTGCTGCATGGGTTGGTGCTGTGGAGCCCCCTTGGCTTGATGACGGACCTGCAACATCAATAGTTGGCTCTGGCTCTGTCTCTGGCGCCGAGGGCGGCTGGGTTCCTAGCTCCAACGTCGTTGGCGTTGGCGTTGGCGCTGGCGCTGGCGTCGACGCTGGTGTTCGTGCCTTGGTGGCGCATAACCAAGATGCCAAAGTCGATTATTTTGGGAAACACATGAAAGTGAGTACGGTGCCAGCCAATGTCTCTCGTGCCCTCGTTGATCTTCAGGGGCCTAGCTGATGTGAAAAGCGGCAAGATAAGGGTTGGTAATTTGGATAAATGGATTAGCACTCACTTTCGCCCGAAAAAGAAAGCATGCGTGCTCCGTTGCAGAACAGATCCCACAAGATTTCTAGAACATGCAGCAGATCTCCTCTAGGACTCCCCGCATGCAGGATGCAGGGAGATGCGAAACGCGAAAAGCCAAATGGCCGAAAGCTGAGCCCGAGCCCGAACCCGCTCGTGGAGCGCCGGTGCGAGTGCGGTTCACTGGTTAGTAGCCCCTTTTAAAGTTGAAGTACGGCGGCATGGCCCAGGCAAGAAGCACCCATCTGCGAAGAGCATCATGGAAGGCCCCTGAGCGGGAACGGGGCGGGATCCATGGGATGGACACTTCGCGCCGCTGGCGCTAGCCGGAAGCTTGGGACGCAAGGTAGCCAACAGGAACAGGAGAGCCAATAAGAAGTTTGTTTTTTTGCATCTCGCATTGGTCATTTCGTAATTTGTTTCCAACGAGATGGGCGTGTTACTCGAAATCGAGGCTGATGGTGAGACAAGATCTGTTGTATTACTGTCTTGACTTTAGGGGATGAGCTGTGGATAGCCGTGGTTCCTGGCCCGGGCCGGACAATAAGAAGAAAAGACGGAGGAGCCGGCCGGCAAGCAGGGCAAGCCGCGAGTGTTGAAGTGAGTGCGTGGGTGGAAGACCGGGAATAGCGGGAGGGAAATCGACAAGCTGCCATCGGGCATGGATTGTTCCCTGCTTTTTGGCGAAGATCTCGGTGGCACGGGAAGGGTTGGACACGATATCAGGCATGTGTTGGGAGAAACCTGAGTCGGAACGCAACAGAATCCGAGGCTGTCAAGAGACATTATTGGACAATAGAAGGCAATTAGGGCGCAGGATTGCACTGCGAGGGCACCGTGAGCGCGTACCTTGCATGGCCTTTTTTCCAACTAAGGGCACCGATGTCTCTCTTTGGCGAGTATAGGTATTCTGTCTCTGACGCATTGCACGCATGTCTCTGCCGGGTATTTGGGATTCGACGGAGCCAATAGATGCAAGAAAGTGTGACGACAATCACGACGACCAGGCTAAGAGGTGACGGGGATAGGCCCGGTTGAAGGCTCTGAGCAGCAGACAGACACAAGTTTCTTGTCTGGATTTCGATTTCCAGCAGTACGAATGTTCATTGATGAATGTGGCTGACCTCCCCCTCCCCTCTTGTGACGATAATTGATAGAGGATGCTTGTCGTCGCTCAACAGATGGTGGACGCCACGGGCATGGAGTGGACCGGGGGATATCTTGCTGCTGCAACGATGTGGGGTTTCTGAGCAAGCACGGGGCACTGTAAATTTCGCGACAAGGCGGCAAGCGGCAGACCGTCTTGGTGTCCAGCCCATGGCTCTCGAATCCCCATGGCATTGTTTATGTATGTGACCGAGTGAGAGCGGGGGGATGGCGAAGAAGCAGCTTGGCGAAGACGGTCGATATCGGATGAAGATGAGCATGCGATACCGGAGCTTTGGTCGTACAATCTAGTTAGTGGTCGGTGGTATTTCGCCCCTTGGAACGCTGGCTTACCTAGTGAGAGTGATATCGCGACCCTTCTCAGATAGTAGAGGCACGTTATCCGTACCAAAGTTCTTCATTCGGTAGGAAATCTAGCACGGCACTTGGGTATGACTGTGGATGTAGGGATACTAGGTGCTTGTATCGATTAAGATAAGAGCGCAGTAGCCGCCGCCAGAACATGTTCCTTTGGATCGGGGATTGGTTTCTTGGTGGATTACGCCGCAGCCAGGGTTCAGGGTGTTGGAAAAGGATGCTCTCTGGACTTTGGAGAAGGCAAAGGATCGCTAGCGTGTCAACGGAGTGACTCAGACGGAGCTGGCACGGCAGGCAGGACAATATGGGACATGTCAGCGAGCTGCGTAGATTGAAACTTGAGATGATGGCGGGAAGACACCGATGAGAGCAGCTGCGAGCTAAAGCTACCTTAGCTTACGCAGTATAGGTACTTAGAACAGGTAGGGACGTAGGTAAGCAAGGTGTGGCATGGTGGTGGTGGTGAGGTCAGCAGACAGGGGCTCGGGAATCCGGAGGAAAGAGCTGATGGGAGCAAATTTATGTGTTCTTGCTTGGTGAATACTGAATACACAGCCCCAGTAAGGTACCTTACGGAGACCAAGAAGTTAAGGAAAGAATGGACTAGGCGTTGGACCTGCCTGGACCTGAAGCTGGCGGAGAGCATGGAAGTGGCAGGAGTTGTCCCCGAGTTACCTAAGGTAGGTACCTACTCAAGTGAGAGAGGCAACAGCAGCCAAAGCACCTGGCAGGGTTCAGCTCTGTAAGTGTGAAGTTTGAAGCGGCATAAAGGCTCCACCGGCTATCCATCGGCAGCTTGATGAACGAGAGCCCTCTCGATTACAACAAGTGAGACTGTGAGTGCTTTGGTATGGTGAGGTAACTTGTGTGTGCGTGTACGTGTGTGTGTGTGTGCTGTCCCTGGGGATATTGTCATTTCCAAATCTCCTCTTTTCCTCCCACTTTCTTCGAGTCTTCATACTATGTGTGCAGTAGTAGGTAGGCCCCCCCAGTGCCCCCTCGTCCCTTGACCCGCTCTCCATTCGTTCCAACTTCCACGGCCCGCTCCAATATCCATCTAGCCCCCGTTTTGAATGACAGCACCATTGTATTGGAGGATCCTCCGTACTGGAGCTTGTTTTTGCTCTGTTTCGTCTCTTTTTTTATGCTGCTGCATCTCCGCTAAATTTTTTTGACTATTTTCTCCTTATTATTCTTATACTCGCACGGGAGGGAACACAAAAGAAGAAAAAGGGGAAAGGACCATGTGTTGTCTCAAGAGTTTTTTTTCCGTCGATTTCGTCTTTTTCCACGACGTGCGCAACGCTGCTGCTACCTTGACTTATGTGCTTTTCGATATCATTAGACGTAACCAACCAACTCGAATCTTTTACACTTGAACAACACATACACGCGCACACCTAGCTTACCATACCTTTCCTTTCCCTGCTTTAGACGCACAAACATACCATACTGCGTACCTTACACAAACACATATATACATATATAGGCGCACCCACGCACACCACCATTAAGCCTACAACCTCCTTTTTGTCATTATTACTCTTGCCCCCCTCGTCCGCTTCTCTCCTTCTTGTTCTTCCTCTCCTCCCTCTTTCTATTCCTCGTCACACCCCTCCGACTAGTCTCCCCGCCTCTGCCACCTGACCTCAATAACATTGACTGCCCTGCTATCCATAACTTGGACCTAATCAACGCCATCCGTCTGCCATCTTCGTTCGCCGCCCTCCCCAAGTCCTTCCCACAAACTATCCCGGTTGGACTGTCGCCCCCCCTCGAAGCCCCCCTGCCGAGCTTCGCCCGCATCCATCCCGCTGCACCGTGGTTTACACTAAACTCGCGCAATCCCGGTGCTGCAACTCTCGTTCCAGGGGGCCAGGGCAACTCACCCCTAACTCGACGGGAACCTGGACACCAGACGTCAACCCCGCCGTCCGTTACCCTCGCTGTCCTTGTCGTCCCTGCCCGTCAGAGGTACCTTTCCTCCCGCCTTGCCGCTGAGCGCCCAGTGCACCACCACCACAACCACGACCTCGAACCCCTCTGCCCCCAAACTCGTCAACCTGCGCTGCTCGTAATATCCTTTTCTTTCCGACGACACAACACCGCACACAAACGCACAACCACTCGACGACCGCCTCTGCCACCGAATCCCCCCTCCCCCTTCCCTTCACCATGGCCGAGAAACCCTCAGTCCTGATCATCGGGGGGCTGGGCTACATCGGTCGCTTCCTGGCCCGCTACATCCACGACAATGACCTCGCATCAGAGGTCCGCGTTGTCGACAAGGCCTTGCCCCAACTCGCATGGCTTGCTCCCGAATTCCAGGACGCCTGCGCCGGCAGCAAATTCATGCAGGCCGATGCAAGCAGAGAACGTAAGTCACCAGACCTAAACGACGACATGACCTGTTTTCTCCTTTTCTTTCCCGTTCACCGCCCTCCAACACTCATTCGTTCATGTCTCTTCTTCTTCTCGTCTCTTCTCTTCTCTGTAGCCCCTCCCCTCCCCCCTCTGTCTCTGGGGTCTCCAAAGCTACCAACCGACCCAACACCCCAAATAAATAACCAACTGTCATGTCCCTCTCGGCTAACGTTTCTTGCTTTTTCTTTGCCCTGTTGCAGAAGCCCTAGCAAAGATATTCGACCGCGCCGACGGCAAACAGTGGGACTACGTCTTCAATTGCGGCGGCGAGACGAGATATTCGCAAGAGGATGAGGTTTACAAGTTGCGCTCTCTCGGCCTGTCGCTTGCTGTTGGCAAGGAGGCGGCCAAGCGCAAGGTCAAGGCCTTCATCGAGCTCAGCACCGGCATGGTCTACAAGTCAGACTCGTCCCCAAGCAAAGAGGGTGACAAGTTGAAGCCTTGGAGCAAGATCGCGGTCTACAAGCTGCAGGCCGAGGAGGAGTTGGCCAAAATTGAGGGGTACGTATCCAAGGCGTCGCCACCAAGCGTTCCCAGAGCTCCCTTTACCTTGCGGGGCACATTATCGTGTATCGTTCCAAACTGACTCAACGACACTCTTTCTCTAGACTGAATCTCATCATTGTGCGTTTGGCACACGTCTACGGCCCGTACGCGTCGCAATGGGTCGCAACGGCACTTTGCATGGCCCGTGTCTACCAATACCTGGAGAGCGAAATGAAGTGGCTGTGGGACAAGGGCCTCCGACAGAACACGGTACACATTACAGATGCCGTACGAGCACTTTGGGATATCACGGCGTGGTACAGCAAAGGCCAGGACAAGTGGGATGTCAAGACCATGGGCAAGGTGCCCACGTTTAACGTTGTCGACAAGGGCATCACCACACAAGGCACCATGTCCGAGATTATTGGCGACATCTTCAAGATCGAAACGGGATTTCAGGGACAACTCATCAGCACATTTGCGCGCCTGAACATGGACAGCGTCGTCGACGACGTCAACGACGAGCTCATGGGACCATGGGCCGAACTGCTCGAGAAGGCGGGCATTGCGCGGCCGGGACCTCTTACGCCCTTCATGGAGAAGGAGCTGTTGAAAGATACGGACCTGAGCATGGACGGTAACCGCTTAGAACAGGTTGTCGGCTTCCAGTACGAAAAGCCCAAGTTGACCAAGGAATTGGTCGAGGAGGTGATTGAGAGCTACAAGACGATGAACTGGTGGCCGTGACGGTCACGGACGGACGGAAACGGATTAGAAGCATAAAACGGCGTGCGGATGACGATTTTCGGCCTGGACTCATCTGAATCGAAGAACGGGGAAGGATACCAGCGCAGGCGCGGGCGCGGGTTGCGGAACCGAGAAGGGGGAAGCGAGAGAGACAGCGAGAGCGCGCCGTGATATCAGTCGAATCGTTTGTTTGGAAACTCCACTGCGTGCGAGCAGCATTCAGTAGCCGATGGCGGGGAGTGCCGGGGAGTGCCGGGGCATTTGTATAACCAAGATATCCTTTTCCTTTTATTACTCTTCGTAGCTCCGGCCATGTATATTGGCACCATTTTTGAAGGCAGTAATCCACGACGAAATTAGGCCAAAATAAATAAATAAATGGAGCGCGCATATTCTCGAAGCATGATGAAAGAAAGGGAGCTGTACCTGAGCTGTCACAGGCAGGGGTTTGCCTGCTGGCATCTTCTTGAAACAGCAAAGAGCTCTCACGTGTGGTTTTCCGCGGGCGGGAACGTCGCGAACGGTCACCTCTTGGCCCCGTGGGAGCTGGGATTCTCCTGCCTGCGTGACTGGCTTCTTTGGAGCTTGGCCCCGCCGCAACAATGTGTCTCCCTCATCGCTGCGGCGCCACTTGCCATCTTGAAGAATCGAAGACTTGAAGCTTCGTTCACCGGCCGGACCCATTTCTGACGCAGGAATCATCCTAGTCAGGCACCGGAAATTCTCGAGACGATTCGTCGAATAGACGAGTTTTATTCGGATGCCTCTCATTGCGCTTCGATTCGCTCGCTTGTGTGACGGATGCTAAAACACATCGTTCCCCGATGGTCGGTTCAGGGTCTGGTTCAGAAACCCGGAGCGAGGATCAAGGAGCCAGAGACAAGCTTGGTCGACGTCGACGTTGACGTTGGTCGGCTGGCACTACTGTGCGAGTTGTCAAATGAATGTCTGCAGTTTCCCAAGCTGATGCAGAGAGCCGCTGACGGGATGCTGTCGTGCGATGAGGCAACCGAGACGGGTAGAGGTGGTACCAGCTAGTCGACAACCGAGTCCACTGCTGAGTGCTCTGAGATGCTGAGATTGACATGATGGCTTGAGCCAGACTTGTGGAAGGTTTTATGGAGATGAACCCCACGAACGGAGAGAGGGAGCCTGAGCTGGAAAAAGAATGCAGCTCGCTCGGTTGGCCCCGTCCCAATCCACCACCACGGGCAATACTAAGCGTCCGTCCCGCACATGCTTCGGACTGAAAAGGCCGAGTGTGACCAAAAGTCTGCCGAAGCCGTGGGTTGGCATCTCCCGCCTGATCGCCCGAGACGGGATGGAGAGTTTGGGGGGACCGAGTTCGTGATTGGCGTCGTGTCATTGGCAGAGATTGGCGGAGTAGAAGGGGAGAGAAGGTGTCGGTGTATGCGACATTGCTGTTCGGATACAAGCGTCAAGCAGTGTCGAAGCTCTCAGACGAATTGTGCGCCTGTGAGCTGTTGTCTGTCCCTGCGTCTGTCTGCTTTACCCGTCATGCATATGCCCGCCATGAATTGCTTTAGGTAATGACCCTTGCCGGCCCTACATCGTGAAGACCGTGCAAAAGGCCCCTTGGGTCTTTTCTTCTTCTTTTTCTTCTGCCCTTTAGCGCTGCCTCGAGCCTCAGAAGCTGCGGCGTCCATTCGCCTCTGGGTTTGTCCTTTCTTGGCTGCCTGATTGGGAACTTGAGAAGTGACACTCAGGGTGCACGTGGGACTGGAACGAGCATCGTCGAGGATGGTGTTCTAGTCGTCATGAAGAACGGTTGTTCGGATTGCTACGTTCCCCGTACTATCTCCAGATGGACGCAACGCAGACCGGGCTAGGCGGCCAGATTGGGGTTGTGAGTGTCGGTCTGGTTGCTATCATTGGCCGTTTGTTTCGCGCAGGCCCAGGTGGTATGCTGGCATGCCCAGATTCGGGGAGTTAAGAGGAGGATTAAACTGCTGACAGGAGTGTAGAGTTCTGGGGGTGGGAGGTTGCAGTCTGCAGAGAAGGGTGTGTATGCGGTCATGATCTCACGCGCGATCCCTTTTCGAGATAGGTTGGCAGGGTCTGGGGTAAACGTAAGGGTGTGGAGGTTGTCTCGCGAGCCTCGGCCCCGACATCTGAGCGGTCGCAGAATGTTCGTGTGATAATAGAGAGCTGTCCTTATTCGGGGCTGGCTGGGCGATTGCGAAGGTGAGAGTGAGAGAGAGCGAGAGCTTCTTCTCTTCATGTGAAAGCCGTGGCAGTGGCAGTGTCAGTGTGGGGAGGGATACTTCCCCGCCCCGCTTGTAAGGTAATGAAGGTAAGTACCCACGCAGGTGATAGAGAAATTGGCCGGTCTTCTGAGCATCGAGGTACCTTACACCGTAGGTACCTTCCAACTCCAATCCGTATGTACTAGGTAGGTAGGTACTCGGTCCCGCGGTAGGCACCTGGTGAGCTTGTTCCTGACTTGACCTGACTGGAAAGAGCTGATACCGGACCAGGCGGCGTATAAGAAGGCGGCGACGGATTGGACGCCTTCCATCTGGAGTCAAATTCCACGTCACCTTTGTTGCTCGGCCCAGCTTGTTCATTCCCATCCTCTAATTCATTCTACCGCCAGTTTGCGAACAAAAGAAGAAGGTGGCTTACCTGAAACAGAGTTTGTGCCTGCTTTGAGTAACGACTTTGGCTTGACGACATTTCACCTTTGCAAACTGGGCCTACCTACATTTACGTATCTCACCTCTGCGGGCCCGTTGACATTTTGTTCCCGTTGCAACCCTCCCGACCACCGACCCAAGGTACTTTACCACCGCCACCACCACACCTTTACCTCCTATTCTACTCGTTGAAGCTCAACAAAGCTTGAGGATATAAAACACCGAATACTTCTTCGGCCAATCTTCGTCGCAACACATTCCAAACGCATCCACACAACACATCGCATCACAATGGCTGCTCCTGCTACAAAGACGATCGCCGACCTCAACGGCAAGTGGGTCATGGTACGTTCACCCATGTTCTGGATACTTTAGCACCACCAAGGAGCAGAGATGCGCGCAAGGAAAGAAAACTGACAACGCCAATAGAACAAGACCCTCTCCGATTCTCCGGAGCCTGCTCTCGCCCTCCAGGGCATCGGTTGGATGACCCGCAAGGCTGTCGGCCTCGCCACTGTCACCCTCGACGTCAAGCAGTACACCGCTCCTCCCTCCCCTCCCGGCACCGGCACTGAGCCCGTCACCCACTTCGATATCGACCAATTCGCCACGGCCGGCCTCAAGGGCACCACAGAGAAGCGCTGTGTCGACAATGAGTGGCGTGAGCATTCCGACTGGATGTTCGGCAGCGTCCGTGGCCAGAGCCGCTGGATGACCCTCGCCGAGATTGAGGATGAGTTCCTCAAGAAGGGCTGGCTCGAGGGCGACGCCGAGGCCACCGGTCCCGATGGCAAGGCTCACCTCTACAGCCACGTCGAGAGCATCGACAACGGCTGGACTGCTTCCCAGATCTGGGGCTTCCAGACCGTCGAGGGCGAGAGACGCTACACTCGCAACGTCCTCGTTCAGAAGGGCGGCAAGAGAGTCGAGATCCGCCTTGTTTACGACTACCTTCCTTAATCTTGACGCACGCGGCGTTTTCTGGGAAATTCTGGCATTGGGGTTGGATGATGGGACCGATTCTACCACACACGAAGCATGGCTACTACTACACGCACTTGCAGGGCGTCTAACGCCGTTATGCTCATGGGCTATGATAGATAGCACAGCGAAGAGTAGACTTTGAGAGCATGAATATCAACTGAACCCGTCTGAAAAACTCCTGTTCCGTGGATGCTCATTTGTAAAAAAGATATACGTGATGACAAGGGAGTGCAATGTTGAATCGTCTGCCTGTGTACCAGTCATTGTCCCAATGCTTCCATCCGCTTCAACATGCGAACCACCAACGCCTGAGTTGATGCAGCCAACCGTCTCATCTACCATGTTTCGTCGTGCCATAGATTCATTACGACCGTTGGATGATCGTCGCCATCCCAGTTCTCTGGATATAACACTGCTCGGCCAAAACCTCTCACTCTTGATCCGTCCTCGACAAGCGCACACTCACGCCGGTCTCCTCTTGACAAACTCCTCGAGATCCTGCACCGTCGCGACGCCGAGCACGAAACGCCGCTTCTCGTCAGTGATGACAGCAAAGTGGCTCTTCTTCGCCTCGACGCCGTCTCCGGCGAAGAAGGCCTCGAGCTCCTCGAGGGGTGTCTGCATGGTGATGACGCGGTAGGTGCGGCCCTTACGCTGGAAGCGGACCATGGCCTTGGAGAGGGGGTCCTCGGGCTTAACCTTGCCGGCGTCGAGGAGGGCCTGGAGGTGGGGGATGGCGAGATAGCCGACGAGGGCGCGGTGGGCGTCGACGACGGTCAGGTGGGTGTAGTCGCGCTCAAAGGCGGAGATGAGGGCGTGGGAGATGGGGTCGGTCGGCGTCAGGGAGAGGGCGGCGGGGGGGTCGATGTCTTCTACTGTGGCCTGGATGATGAGGAGGGCAGGAGTTAGTCACTGGCTGAGAAGGTTTCGTGGTCTGTGGTTTGAGGGACAAGTGGGAGAAGCGGGATTTGGTTCGAGGGGATGTTCACGTACACCGCGATAACGGGAAGACCATTTTGAGACGAAGGGACTGGAGGTTTCGCTGGTTTGCGACATAGGTGCCGCCGCGGCGGGAGTGGAAGCCAAAGCCGCCATTGTTGGGAATTGAAGGGACTTTCCGGGCCTCGAGTGAGCACTTGTCACAATAACAGTCGACCGTCGAGGCAGAGTGGGTATCGTTTAATCGTGGTTGGTGGTGGTCGCTCGCGCAGCTGCGTTGGAAATGATATCAATTATCGCGGGGTTCTTTGGAGGGAGGGAGGGGCGGTGTCGACATCGACAGGGCTGAAAGATTTGGCGGTAAGGTACGGGAAAACGCCACAGTTGAAAGTCGGGCGGTGTCTCGGATTTGCTCACAGACGCGCGCGCCGGGGGCGGCTGCCCGCCATTGCGAATTTGCATGTCGGGGGGTGGGATCCCAACACGGTCCACTTGCGCCTGGTATCCATCCGCAAATTGTTAAGGTTTCGCTGAAGCTGCCTGCCGCCGTTCCTTCACCGACCTTGGGGGTTCCACAGCGGGGTGTTGCTGCTGAAGAGTCACCAAAAGCCACGGGAGCGATCGGGTTGAGTATCACGGATCAGTCCGCTGGTAGAATATCTCGCGAAGTCGAAACAAGGAATACCAGATTAGACCTACCATTTCGAGAATGAGGCCCATAGAATTCCGGTCATCTGCTCGCTGAAATTTTCCCGTCGCGCGCATCGAGAATGAAAAAGTCATTCTAAAATCCCTCGACGGAAGTTCTTACGATCGCGGTCAGCCTGGATGCTTTAGTGTAGTTTCACAGCAATTTCCTATTTGGGCCATCGGCTCTGTCACGGTCAGTTTGCAATGTATCGCCATTTCCTTCTCTCCGTCGTTTACCACAGACTACATGAAGCAGAATCAAGGGTAAAAGAGAGATCAAAGGGGTTTAAATTGTACTTAATTATAAAATCTGATTGGAGAATGATTGATGGACAAGAGTATAGGAAAATGCAGCCGGGAGACGAAACAGCGAAATCACGGCGAAGCTCCGCAAAATCCGGGGATAAGCGCGGGCCATTTCGCGATAACACGGGAGCTTTCCCTCTCGTCGTATTTGGTCGCATGCCGGTGCCCCACTCAAGCTACCTTACTCCTGCTCTAGGTAGTACACAGTACAGCACCTCCCACAGCTCTGCATCAGAGTCGAGACCTCCCCTTCTGAGGTGTGATGTCACCCATACCCTCCCAACACCTTCCGCCGCAGCTGTCGGTCACTGGCGCGTAAGCTCTACCCAAGTCCAGGCGACATTGTACAGCAAACTATTGATGAGGTCGAGGTACCCGCGACATGGACGTGACCGAAATCTCCGAACCGACCCCTTCCTTCTCTCACCTCCTGGGCCTTCTTCTAGAGGCAATCACTGCCTACCTCCTCTTAGAGCCCCGTTCCTTCCTGAGCTATCCTGTCCATCCACTCATCAGCGCCGGCGCCCCCTTTCCCCCAATTATATTCGCATGATAATAAACCTGCTTCTGACCTCTCTCTCTCGTCCTGGCTTCTTCCTCTTCCTGTGTATGCGTATTTGCGACGACTTCACTCGCAACCTTCTCCTCTTCCTCTGCTTCCGCATTCTCGAGAAGTAACCAGCTCTCGACTCTCAAGGTGCTGTCACTCATACGCCGGAAACGGTCATTTGTGTCGCGCGACTGACGTTGCACCTGTTCTCCTCTTACTGTTCTTTGAGCTGGAAACCCCTCTCAGCTCGCTCTTTTGGTGAGTAGAGGTCTTCAACTTCTTTTGTCTACTCTCTTCAACATCGCGTCATATTCTCCCATTGCCGGTGTCGCCCGTCTCCTTCGAGCTCGAGCTTCCATTGCCAAAATCAATTACGCGCTCATACCGTCTCTCGAGCTTATCGCAGGGGTATGATCGTCCTTTACCTTACCTCCCGACTAACTTCATTAGCCAGATATCCTTGCAGAAGAAATCCCACATCATCCAACCCTCCCGGTCCAGACAAATTGCGTCTCGACCACCATGTCGTTCCTCTACCCTAGACAAGATACCCTCAAGGGCTGCTTTGCGTCCCCTTTTGGCAGCCGTCCTAGCAAGGCAGCGGACACCACGGCCATGGCGAAACCTACGCGCTACCAGGCCCGCCCCGAGTTCTATGGCGCATTCTCCACCGTTGACGACGTCAAGGGCAAGGCGAAGCAGCTCAGCGCCGAGGCCACGGCCGAGTTTGAGAAGGCCAGCGCCAAGGCCCAGTCTGCGGCTGGCGGCAAGATTGAGCTGTACTCTGGAAAGTACTATGCTGCGTGCACCGTCGGTGGCCTCATGGCCTGCGTGAGTTTCCCTTGCCTTCCTAGACCTTGACTCGTCGTTGTTGTCCATGATGGGTGACCTCGTCTCCGCTCCGGGGTCCCCACAGCGGCGCCGGGCCCCGGCGCCGGGCCACAACGAAAACTTATGAGAACCGCTCGACTAACACTAAAGGCTAGGGCTTGACGCATACCGCCGTCACTCCTCTGGACCTTGTCAAAGTGAGAAGACAAATCGACTCGAAGCTGTACCGCGGAAACTTCCAGGCTTGGGGAATGATCTTCCGAAAGGAGGGTCTCCGCGGCATCATGACCGGCTGGGGCCCGACTTTCTGGGGCTACTCCGCCCAGGGAGCTTGCAAGTACGGATTCTACGAATACTTCAAAAAGGTAAGAAGATATGAATCCACATCGAATCTCGCATCTCAGCCCGATGAAGGAAGCCTCGTGACTAACACGCAACTCCCAAGACCTACGCCGACCTCGCGGGCCCCGACAACGCCAAAAAGTACCAGACGATTCTCTTCCTCTCCGCCTCAGCCTCCGCCGAATTCCTCGCCGACATCGCTCTCTGCCCCTTTGAGGCTGTCAAGGTCCGCATGCAGGGTGGTATCCCGTCCCCCTATAAGGGCACTCTCGACGGCATCAGCAAGGTCACGGCTAAGGAAGGGTGGGGAGGCCTCTACAAGGGCCTGTACCCGCTCTGGGGCCGACAGATCCCCTACACCATGATGAAGTTCGCCTCCTTCGAGACCATTGTCGAGATGATGTACGCCCGCCTCCCGGGTCAAAAGTCTGACTACAGCAAGGCCGCCCAGACGGGCGTGTCGTTTGTCAGCGGTTACCTGGCAGGTATCCTCTGCGCCATCGTCTCCCACCCGGCCGATGTCATGGTCAGCAAGCTCAACGCGAACCGCGCGCAGGGCGAGGCGTTTGGTGCGGCCATGGGCAGGATCTACAAGGACATTGGATTCTCTGGCCTCTGGAACGGTCTGCCTGTCCGTATCGTCATGATTGGTACCCTGACCGGCCTCCAGTGGATGATCTACGTGAGTGGCCGTCATAATGTCATTGAAGGGAGTTGAGAACAGTGACTAACATGAGTGAACAGGACTACTTCAAGATCTTCATGGGCTTCCCCACCACTGGAGGAGCAGCTCCCCCCGCCGAGAAGAAGTAATTTAGCAGATATTATGATGGTTGGGTGAACGGAGGGTTGGGCCAGTGCAACCTGGGTTGTCCAGCTAGTATACTATGAACACTGAGGATCTCTCGAGGGAGTTCTCTTAGCTCTTACACTATTGTAACAATGAGAGAGTCTTTTCCGCAATGAATTTTGTCTGTTTTTTATCAATACCTCCCCGTCAAAGTCGTATATTCAGAGATCGAACTGCAGCACCGGGGAAGTTGAAAATATCACGCAAGTTGTTTTTCCTTTTTCTTCCCCGAATTCTTTTCCCGCTCTCTCCCCATATCTGGGTTCGCGCTCATCGCGATTCTCTTTCCTCGGCGTCACTTGGCGTTCCATCACCGGTACGTCCGTGTATAAAAAGCGATTGTTTTTCCCTTGACCTGGCTTGATTTTGGAGACGATCAAACTTGCATGGGATCCGATTTTAACGGCAAGATATAAACACCGTGCCCGTATTGTAATGCGCCTGCAAAGCTGTGATGTAACTTTCAGGCATTAAAATTGTGAGAGATCTATGATGAGGACGGGGATGATTGGGGGGGGGGGGGGCGAGGAATTTGATGGAAAGGAAGAAGAAGAAGAAGACAACCCGGGTCGGAATGGGAAAGGCCCTGGAGCAAAAGACGGGAAGCGTAGATGTTATCGATTTGAACGACACCTTGAATACAAATCAGAATACTATTCCCAAGCCTCCGTCTCCCATCTAAAGCTAATGCCGACTATCAACGACCGGACTGCGTCACCTGTCTTGGGCAACAACGGAACGAATGCCGTCTTGCTAGCACCCTCATCTTTCCAACAACGAAAAGAAAGAAATGACTCAACGTGGCCTTAGGTTTTGGCCTCCAAGTTTAAGCTTCACGTTTGGGTTTGTCTCAACGTGTCATATGAAGGATAGCATCGTGTCAAAAGGTGCCAAACCCACACGATGTGAAATAGCACAGTCAAACCAGTCAACTCAGTGCACCAGGTGATAATGCTGACCGACTTGTCAGAATAGTCATACATGGCACTAGAAAACATTAGTTCCAATAGCAAAACGTAGTAACGAGAAAAAGGCCAGGCCCGGACGCCGGCGACGCCGGGGCGGGATACCACTCCACCTGCAGAGCGACTTAGCTGTCCGAACTTAGGCGCGGGGGACGCTCCGGCAGTCGTGCGCCGGCACCGGTAAAGGTCTCTCTGCAGTTGGATGGATAAGACTTCTGAAGCCTGACCATCTGTGCGCGGCCTCTGAAGAGTCGAGACTGCCCGAGTCTTGCTAAGCAGAATTTAGAGCGTTGAGTCGAAGAGTAAAGAGCAATAATTCGTCATTTCACAGTGCTTGGGCGGCAGTGGGGGAAATGGCACCGAGGGATGCAGAGCATGACGTCCATGTCTTCCAGAAGTTCGTGGGAATCGGGCCGGTACGGGACCGTGTGGAGGACGCTGACCTACCAGAAAACGCCAGTGTGCTGCACATCGTGGATGATGGAGCGCGGGTGGTTCTAGAGGTGGCATCTGCGAATCGGTTGGCTGTGGCACCCTACCTAATGGTAGTGCCTGTTGGCCAAAGATGTCCGATGGATTAAGCCAAGTAAGCCAAGGTACGCCACGAGCGAGGCACAACGAAGATAGCTCAAGACACAATAGCTAAGTGGCGCTGACGTTGAACGTATGCCTTTCCCCTCGGCCGCACTAGCCTTCCATAAACAATGCAATGTCTCCCGAAGTTGCTTTCCGTTCGGGGGCTTTTCGTCGAAAAGTGACGAGGGGCTCTTGGGGTCCGCTCATGGATGATACCTGTTATGACTGCGGAGTTGTTGAGGAGGTGAGGGTTTGGGAGTGAGCGTTCAGGATGGGTCGTGATGGAGTGGTTTCGATCGGACATGGATGCGACGAAGGTGCAGTGAAGAAGCGAGTGGGTGTGATGCTGATTGGCAACGTTAATGGGGCATTCTGTCGGTGTCGAGCGGATATCCCCCGCATAGATGCTGGCCAGGTACAATAGCGTTCCCCATGCCTGGTGGGAGGGACACACTGGAGCAAGGGGGAGCGAACAGCAGCAGATCGACAGAGCTTTGCTCCACTGCTGTGTTTGTGAAAAGACTCGGCGTGTGTCGGAGGGGAAAGACGAGAGGCATGTCTTAAGATGGACCGAATAAGCACGGGAGGTGAGTTGACGAATGAGCTCGGGTCCAGCAGCGTGGATGAAGGTGACAACGGCGTCGTCCCCCGTCCAGCTAGACACGGAATCGGACCAGTAGCGTCGAGCCGTCGATCCTCTCACACCAACCGCGATGCAACAATGTCTTTCGGGGTGGCTGCACCGCACCAAGGGATCCAACACGGCGGAGAGGCATGTGTACATAGGGTTTTTTGAGGTAGTCGTTTGTGGCCCTGGCCTGGCATGACGGGTCAACCAGCTGTTCATTGGCGCTCGTTCTCGCCCGTTGTTGTGAATCTGCCATCTTCAGGTAGGGCGGGTTACGTTGCGTTGGAGTGTAATTCGCAACTCGCAACCTGTGTGAGAGAGAGAGAGAGAGGGGTCATGTCTGGGTTACCTACCGAGCCGCTCCTGTGCGAGTCGCATGCTGTTGCGGCAAGGCCTCGAAGCATGGAACGAGGAGCCGAAAAAAAAAGAAAAAAGAAACGCTACAGGGACTCTGGCAGTTCATCAGGCCTAGGTTGCTGGCCGTGTCAAGAGGAGGTTGCAGAAAGCCTGTCCTGGACGATGTCCGTCTCATCGATCGTCGAGAAGACGGCAGTCTGCAACACCAACGACTCAGGAAGAACGCCTCTTTTTCCGGGGTGCGGGGACAAATTCAGACTTGAAGTCGGCAGCTAAGGCGTTGTAGTTTGTAGACTATGGGTAGATGTGTAAGCCGTCGGGTGCTTTTTCCCACCAAATAAAAGGCCTTGGAGAGCGCCCTCATCCCCGATTGAGCAACCGGCGTTTGAGGGGCAACAAAGCTTCGGTTGGTCTAGGGCGGCTAGGTTTGATGGGTAGAAAGCAAGAGACTGAC